TAGTGTCCCTGGCGAAAAATCTTCGTTCAAATGAAACGACGGTCAGCCTATATACCTCCAACGCGCAGGTAGGGGGACGGTCTGGACGCCAACAGCGTACACTAAGTGTCTAAGGAGGGAGGGAGGGGTTGGCCTATAGGGCGTAACCGGGGTTGGGTTGTGGGGATGACCTTAGTCCATCCGCGTGGAGTAAAAGTGGTGCCTGTGCTTGCAAACACATATCGACAGACAGACAGCTAGATAGATAGATAGATAGATAGATAGATAGATAGATAGATAGATAGATAGATAGATAGATAGATAGATAGATAGATAGATAGATAGATAGATAGATAGATAGATAGATAGATAGATAGATAGATAGATAGATAGATAGATAGATAGATAGATAGATAGATAGATAGATAGATAGATAATTAATAGATAGATAGATAGATAGATAGATAGATAGATAGATAGATAGATAGATAGATGGATGGATGGATGGATGGATGGATGGATGGATGGATGGATGGATGGATGGGATGGATGGGATGGATGGATGGATGGATGGATAGATAGATAGATAGATAGATAGATAGATAGATAGATAGATAGATAGATAGATAGATAGATAGATAGATAGATAGATAGATAGATAGATAGATCGATAGATAGATAGATAGATAGATAGATAGATAGATAGATAGATAGATAGATAGATAGATAGATAGATAGATAGATAGATAGATAGATAGATAGATAGATAGATAGATAGATAGATAGATAGATAGATAGATAGATAGATAGATAGATAGATAGATAGATAGATAGATAGATAGATAGATAGATAGATAGATAGATAGATAGATAGATAGATAGATAGATAGATAGATATAATAGATAGATAGATAGATAGATAGATAGATAGATAGATAGATAGATATAGATAGATAGATAGATAGATAGATAGATAGATAGATAGATAGATAGATAGATAGATAGATAGATAGATAGATAGATAGATAGATAGATAAATGCTTCTCTCTTACTGTCAGCTATCAAATAGAGACAGTAAGGATGCTTGCTATACCAAAGTAATCAGTCGAGCCCGAGAGTAAGACTGGTAACAACCAGAGTGTAAGGGAGCGATGAAGGGATAGATGGGAAAACAGCATGTGTGGATGGTGGTGTGGATAGGCGAGTGTGTCCTGGATAGATGGGTGGGTAGATGAATGGATGGAATGGTGGATGACTGTATTAGTGGATGAATGGAATGGTAGATGAATGGATGGGTGGGTAGATGAATGGATGGAATGATGGATGACTGTATTAGTGGATGAATGGTATCGTAGATGAATGGATTGATTGATCAAATATGAGATGAGGTAAAAACATGAGTCTAGTAACACAGTGCTTCTCTCTTACTGTCCGCTATCAAATAGAGACAGTAAGGGTGATTTTTATACAAAGTATTGGTAGAGCCCCAAGTGTAAGGCTGGTAACAGCCAGAATGGAAGGAAGCGGTGAAAAATAGCATTGAGTGGATGGTGAGATAAATGGTGTGGGTAGATGAATGGGCGGGACGATGGTTACGTTCGTAGATAGATGCAATGGTAGATGAATGGATGGATCTGCCTATATGTATGCTGATATATTAAAATAGGTTTGTTGCTTTGTTTTAGTATCCAGAAGCCATGAGTTGTTAATCCTTAGGCTCGGTATTATGGATATCGCAACCCTTCGGCCTTGATTCCATTTTAAATACCGTAAAGCTAGGAGAAATGTGGCTTTTATGCCTACTCCCGGACCACATGGAGTTCGTCACCCGCTCACCGCGCAATCCGGTTTAGCCAACTACACTAGAGAGCCGGGCAGGTCTTTACTTTGGATGTTGCCTCACTGTATACCTCCATCCCTCACAGTGATGGCCTCTCGGCTTTGCGTTTCTTTCTGGACAAACGCAGTAATCCAGCCATTGCCACTGAACCCATCATACGTTTAGCCGAGTTGGTTCTGACTCTCAATTCTTTTGAGTTTAACGGCAAGTACTTTGCCCCACGGCACAGCAAAATTCAAGCAGGGATAGGTTTTCCTATCTGTGTTTCTAAGTTGTGTATGACCAAATTTAAGATTTCTCATGGGAGAAAAAACCCACACACACACTTTATAGCTATAGTGTCCACGTGTCAGTCTATAAAATTAAGTAGGAAAGAGTCTGCCGATCTCTCTTCAGGCATGTTTGCATGAAGTATTCGCCAACACCAACAACCTTTAACATTGTAATGAAACGTAGAAATGATGGCACTTTTGAAAGGTTAGCTTATCGTAAAGATACTTGGACAGGCCAGTACATTTATTTTAACAGTTTTGCACACATGCAATACAAGTGTGGCCTAGTGCAAACATTATTTAACCGCGTTAGAAAGATTTTTTCCAGGGACACGCTACAAACTGAATGTGAAACTATTAAAAAAACACTGCTTTCTAATGGACATCTTAAATCCATCTAATGTTTCGGGGAGATGTTATGCAACGTTTATATGACCGGCTCAAAACTGCAGTCGGTCAGAATTTTTACGCAATCACATTTTTTATCAGATTTAAAACCCATGTGATTCCTAAACCATGGGTAAAACAAGCAGTGTCGACGTAGTTTAGTGTAGTTTAGTGCATGATAATTGTAGTTTAGTGTATTAACAATTTGAGTGATATGCTTGGATTTATTATACTAACAATGTACGTTATATACTTGAATTAAGTGTTTTAATAATCTGCTTTATATTCTTGGGTTTAGTGTACCCACGATCTGCATGATATACTTGTGTTTAGGATACTAACGATCTGCATGATATACTTGAATTTTGTGTACTAACGATCTTCATTAAATACTTGAGTTAAGTGTACTAAATATCTGCATGATATACTTGAATTTTGTGTACTAACGATCTGCATTATAATACTTGAGTTTAGTGTACTAATTATCTGCATGATATACTTGAATTTTGTGTACTAACGATCTGCATGATATACTTGAATTTTGTGTACTAACGATCTGCATGATATAATTGAATTTAGGGTAATAAATATCTGTATGATATACTTGAATTTTGTGTACTAACGATCTGCATGATATACTTAAATTTAGTGTACTAATATCTGCACGGTTTACTTGAGTTAAGTATACTAACTATCTGCATGATATATTTGAGTTAAGTGTACTAACTATCTGCATGATATACTTGAGTTTAGTGTACTAACTATCTGCATGATATAATTGAGTTTAGTGTACTAACTATCTGCATGATATACTTGAATTGTGTGTACTAACTATCTGCACGATATACTTGAGTTTAGTGTACTAACTATCTGCATGATATACTTAAATTTAGTGTACTAACTATCTGCATGATATACTTGAGTTTAGTGTACTAACTATCTGCATGATATACTTGAGTTTAGGGTACTAACGATCTGCATGATATACTTGAGTTTAGGGTACTAACGATCTGCATGATATACTTGAGTTTAGTGTACTAACTATCTGCATGATATACTTACATTTAGTGTACTAACTATCTGCATGATATACTTGAGTTTAGTGTACTAACTATCTGCATGATATACTTAAATTTAGTGTACTAACGATCTGCATGATATACTTGAGTTTAGGATACTAACTATCTGCATGATATACTTGAGTTTAGGGTACTAACGATCTGCATGATATACTTGAGTTTAGGGTACTAACGATCTGCATGATATACTTGAGTTTAGGGTACTAACGATCTGCATGATATACTTGAGTTTAGGGTACTAACGATCTGCATGATATACTTGAGTTTAGGGTACTAACGATCTGCATGATATACTTGAGTTTAGGGTACTAACGATCTGCATGATATACTTGAGTTTAGGGTACTAACGATCTGCATGATATATTAGAAGCTCTTATTTGAACCCCTTTCGTGGTCTGAAGCAGCTGGAGACATTGCTACTGGACTGTCGGCTCTCGGTACCACGGTCGAAACCATCGCAAGACAAACCGTCCGCAGCAGGGATCGAACCCGGCACCCCGACATTACGAAGCGCGTTTGCACGCCTAAGCCACAGACGCCGACATATGGTAATTACAAGCCTATAAATAAAAGAGTATGGTCCTTGATGCATAGGTTCTGTTTCTGACTCTTGAGAAAATGGCAGTTTGATACACACACACACACATACACACACACAACCGTCCACAGCGGCTTAGAAAGCAATAATTCAGTTTTTTTTTTTATTTGAAGAATGTCGACTAGGGACATTCATCGAAGAATACCAGCAGCGTACGGTAACAAATGTATTTCAACAACAGCGAGTCTCGGAAAGGACGTGAGTTCACGCAGTCTTCCACGCCCGGGCCAAGCACAAATTGTTACCAAAAGAAAAACCACTGGTGCAGCAATACAGGTCAGGTGACTGTGAAACAACTGTCACACGCTAGCGAAAAAATTATGTGTAAATTGTGACAGTTCAAAAGATTGTTTGTAAGAAACTGCTGTATCCTAAGGTGCGTTCGCAATGGGTACCACTGATACTGACCGGCCGTCGAAAGGAGGAACGCGGTAAACGAAGAACCATAATAAGTTTTTTCTTTTTTGCGGACGGCACTTACAGCCTACCCTAGCAATGAGATGCTTGACTCAATGTCTACGGCAATTTTTTTCTGGGGACCAACATAGTGCAAACTTTGTTGGTTTAATTCCGCCACACCTGTTGATGTTTCTTTTATGCGTTTGTAATAAAGACCTTGGAACAAGTATCAAAGAACGCCCTCCATACTTGCTTTTATTCTGCCCAGGCTTGTGGCCGCAGAGAAAAAGAGCTTCCTTACTTAACTTAATTGGCTGTGATTTCCATGTCTGTCTGTAACACAGTATAACACTATCGTCTGCAAAGACGGAAAGGTGTCAGAGACTTTGATTTTCTTAAACTAACAGTCTACGTGATATTCTGATTATGATTGTATCTTCCTACAGGTCCGGCTGTTGTAGAGCAGCTGCTGAAAGAGCTGGAAGAGAGGGTGGACAATCTGGAGAAAAAATATAGAGAGAAGTTGCTGTCGAGAAGAGTAAGCAGTAGCGGTGTGTTATAATCCTCCCTACCTCCCTCCCACCACATCCATTCTTCTCCTCCTCCTCCTTTTCCTCCTCCTTCCCTTTTCCAAATTGGTCTTCTCCTGCTTCATCTCATTCTCTTCTTCTTCTTCTTCTTCCTCTTCTTCTTCTTTTTCTTCTACTTCTTCTTCTTCTTCTTCTTCTTCTTCTTCTTCTTCTTTATGACCAAAACATGATCACTGTCGCTTTCTGATGTATGTGATAAGTTGTCTCTGAGCAGTTGCCTCTTTAAAAACATCTGGGTAGCTTTTCTTACTTGTCCAAGGAACTCTAAGGATTCTTCTGTAAAACTACATCTCCGCGGCCTCAAGATATTGTTCGGATTGTTTATTAACTGTCCAGGATTCATAGCCATATGTTGAAACTGTCTCCAAACAGCATGCGATAATTCTTTTCCTTACCTGCAATGACATGAGTTATTGCACACAATTGTCTTCATTTTATAAAAGGCAGTTTTGGCCTGTTCTGTTCTTTATCTCTGTGATACATCTTCGATCTGATGTTATCCATGTGCCTAGATACCTAAATGTATGTACTTGTCCTAAAAAACACATTTGACTTTTATTATACATTTAAGCACTATTCTTTTCTTGGAAATCACTATTACTTCTGTCTTGTCAGTATTCAGACTAAGGCCCATTTTATAACTTTCTACAACCATCGTTTCTGTAATTCTTTCTGACTTGTCGCTATCAAGACGGTGTTATCAGCGCGTCATCAAGACTTGGATAACAGCATTACTTAATACCACCAGTTGAGGCGTAGCAAATAAATGAATTTCAAATTTTACGTGCACATCCGTTTTACAGATTGGCTAACTTGTATGTCGACTGTTGGTTTGTCGCCGCTCAGGCAGTTGCATTGAGACTTCGGAGGAAAAATCCCTTAATGGACACCTTTTACGACATGCTTCTTGGAAAGAGTGGGTATATCCCCCTTACCCCCCCCCCTCCCCCCCCCCCGCCCGCTAAACAAATGGGCCCCGGAACCCACACAGGGTGTGTAGCTTTACATTTAAGTATGTGTTTATTTATTTATTTTAAATATATTACCAGTATTATGTTTATTTGCTACTCAGCACATAATAATAATAATAATAACAAATATGATAATATTTTTTATTGCTCGTTTAAAGAAGGCTTAAACCCTATAAGCCCCCTCCCGCAGATAGAATTATAAAGAGGCTGAGGGCCATATCGCCGTAACCAATGTTTACCTTGTGGTAGCGCCCCTGGCTACCACTATGTCCAAACCAGTGAACAGCCATATACTAAACGAACTTACCATTTACATTGAACTGTCTGTCTGGAGTTAGGTGACGTCAGCTGTAAAGTAATAACTACTGTAGATGTCCCTGGCCCTTGATATAACTGCTCTCATTTGACGGTTGCTCACGTCAGGAGAGTGTGGCAAGTTTAAAATACTTCTCACTCAACTTCCAGACTAGTTCGTGCTTTACTAGCATCTTCCAAATACTAATTTAAGAGGTTTCGTCAGGAGCAATATTTGGACACAAAGTTTATAGGTTTTGTTCGGGTCTGACGGTCTCTAGCCGCTGTTTCTAAAGTATGTGTCATTTGTGAAAAAGAGGCGCGATCTAAAACAGTCTGAAATGAAGACCAAGCTTGCAAAATAATTTAGAACAACCGAGCTGGAGAATCAGTGTTCTACTTTTAACAATAAAGTGCCCCTCTGTAACGATGTCACAGTCGTAATTCGTTTATTTCAAGAAACATACGTAGATTACATTGCTTCAATTTGAGATGCAAACTCTTATTGCTGCACTTCTCTTGGTCTTGTTTATTTTAATAATTCTGACGACAGCGTCCCACAAAGAACTAGCTCCGGAGCTCTGGCAGTGGATCTAATGGTTCTACGGAAAAACTGCAGATGAACCGAACCACGAATCCATGAAACGACCATCAGAACGTGCTGCAAACGGCTTGAGCGCTTCGCTACGAAGGATCCCCCCCCCCCTTTTTTCCATCCCCAATCACCTCCAGAAAAAGAAATAACATCAATTCTCTCAAGCACACGGGCTGGAAATAAAGTAGAATCTATTAAGCCCACAGTCCAGAAATAACGTGAAATCTGTTCAACACGCAATCCAACACACCAAGAAATCAATCAAGGAGACACGCTAGAAATAAAATTGAACGTATCCATCACTGGATCCAGAAATAACAGCAAATCTAGCCAGCACTTCTTCTTCTTCTTCTCTTCCACCTTGTACCTGATCGAAGCGTCGGGGGAGATGTAATGTTCGTCGATGAGCTCTGTCAAGAGCACTATTAAGACTGATGTTCATTTCTGTAAGGCTGTTCCTAATTCCATCACTCCATCTTTTCCGAGGTCTTCCATGCGCTCTATACCCGTTGTAACGTTTTAGTGTGGCTCGCTGTGGCGGATAGTACCAGGGCATTCTTGTTAGGTGTCCAAACCACTTCATTTGTTGTTCTTTGATGACCTGTAAAACTGGCTTTATTCCTAGCATTCGTCTGATTTCATGATTTCGTATTCTGTCTTTCCTTGAAACTCCTGCAGCTCTTTTAAGGCATTTCATCTCTGTTGTCACAATTTTACGTTCATTGGAGAATGTAAGTGTCCACGTTTGACATTGATAGCATAATGTTGGCCAAAAAATAGTTCTGATAAGATTCACTTTAGTACTCCGAGGTATCTGCTTGTTTGTCAACAGGGGAGATAGTTGACCCATTACTTGATTAGATTTGGCACATCTGGAGCTAATTTCTCTGTCCAGTTTTCTGTCTGATGTAAAAATTGCTCCCAAATACTTAAATTCCTCAGTTTGTCTCAGGGTGTTGTTTTTTAATTTAATTTCTAAATTGTGTAGCCAGCACATGCACACAAAAAACTGATGTACCTGATGGATTTTTGAGCAAGGAAAAGATTATCAAGACTTCGTTAGAGAGACTCATTATTGTCTGGGTACACCCCAAGTTATGTAACGTATAGTAATTCCTCGATCTGCGTGACGTTTAGTTAATGTCACATTCCCCGAACTTGTGTGGTTAAAATAACAAGATGGGTTCCTCAATCTTATGGTCTACACGTAACATGTTTTACCCAAGCTCTGTAAAAAAAAAAAAAAAAAGTTCCCCATATGGGTTCTGGTGACTCTTAGGTCTCTATTCTCAAACTATAAGTTGTGCTAACATATGCCAGGCTTTGTTGCACTAAGCGACATTCATTAGTTTTTGCTATGAACCCATGTGGAAGTTTTCTGCCTCTCGACACAAAGCCATGTGTATTGATAATCACATCACATGGGTGGGAATTGCAATGAATCTGATGTTAAACACATGGTTTTAATTTCCCGCTGGCCAATTCTTACACTACTGGCCCATTGGGATTAGAACCCTACACGTGTCTGGCTGTTACTGTGACACTCTGACTAACTCCTCTCCTGGCCCAAAATTATAAAACCTACTCATAGGTAAGCTTGAGCCATCGAAGACGTTAATGTTTTTAGTCTGTGACCCTTAGCTCTACCTAGGGCTTCATTGAGGGGGTGTTTCTTGTCTGCGGCTGCTCTGAGATCTATCTTTGCTTGCAGCGATGTGAGCCTATCTGTAGTAGCAGTGCAAGTTTAGCGTCATATCCCCACTGTCGTCAAAGTGTCCTCGATACACTTATTTACTTGTGTAAGCATTTTACAGTGTAATGTTTAAATATTTGATATCAGTACTGTCTTGTTTGGGGCGATTTGGCAACATACCACCTTGCATTGGATTCGACAACGGTACGAAAGCCGACGGCTTAGTAGCAATGGCAAGCTACTGAACGTAAAATGGCCCAGTAAAATCACAAACACCAAAATAATTGCGAAAAAAAAAAAAAAAAAACGGGGTTGGTTGTGCAACGTTCTAAATGAAAATGCAACTAACTATATTGTTTTCATAAATATGTGATAATTAATCTTGCAGTTATACTATGTTTCATTACAAGTCCATTTATTTTCAGATCTCTGGTAAATTCAGAACAGCTTCCGGCAAACCGGGTGAAAAAATCGTCAGCATTGCTAAAGAGGAAAGGGCAACACTAATTATTACCGGCACTCGAGGCCTGGGCAAGTTTCGAAGGACTATTCTTGGAAGCGTGAGTGACTACATCGTCCACCATTCTAACGTGCCCGTGCTGGTATGTCGGTGGAAGACAACGGAAGACCACTCTAAGTAATGTTTTTTCTCACATTGGGAAAGGCACGAGCAGAGGATTTATGAAAGTCTCAGCAGTTTTCTGCCAAAGAAGGCTGTGAAGTTTAGGTGTTGCCTTTTTGTCCGGTTTTTGTTAGTTAATTATGTTATTAGAATATTCTCATTCAAATCACTTTAATGCGTGTTCGTGTAACATACTGTTAACTAACTAGTGCTTATAATAACTGAAGAGTTCTCGCATGAAGATTCGAGCATTCACATCGCCCACCCACACAGGACTGTATATTACTTCCTAGCCGTTTAGTGGTGCCCCTGTGTAGCTTTAGCATGTGGCTATATGGTTGAACATTGTTTCCGGAATTTTACCTGTTTGATTCTCATTCATGAAGAAGTTAATCCTTCAGACTGCATTCCTTGACGGTAATACTGAATGCTTGGGATAACAGGGGTCGATATGTCTTCTTTATTTCACACAAATATTTCATTCAAGAATTTGGGGACATTCATGACATCAGATGAACGATGTCAGACAGTAGTTAAGAGCAGAACTGGCCAGGGAGAGGTAGCATTTCAGAAGATGAAAATGAGTATTGAAATGTTAAATCGAGTCTGTTCTGTTGTAGGGCAGTGAATCTTGGAATGTGAGCAAATAAATTAGGAAGAGCTAAGAGGCAACTAAGATGTAGTTCTTTAAAAGAATGTTACAAATACCTAGGACTGCCAGAATAACTAACAATGATTGCCTGGAAATTGCTAATGAAAGTATATATATATATATATATATTGTTGTAACCCACCAGGTCATGACACAAGGGATAAAAACCTTGTGACACAAAGTGCCATCATGCAGACGAGGATCACCCGTAGAGAGGTCCCAGAAACCCCTTTCAGTCGTTAAGCCACATATATGGCCCGGCTATATTCAGAGCCCCTGACAAAAGCCAGGGTGGGGCTTCAGATAACGAAAAAAATGCATTCCACATAGGGACGACTAGTTAGGGGGAATGGAAAATATTGTGACGACTGGTAAGATCACTAGTAGAAGAGGTGGAGGCAGACCAAAAAATATGATGGTGTTTGGCATAAGACAGTGGTATAGATAAATATCATCAGTGGAATTATTCCAGAACAGCAAAGACCGAGATCCATGGAGGTGTACTAACGCTCACGCCAGGTGACAAGGCACTTGATAATGATGATGATTTCACACAATAAACAGGATGAAGTGTACACATTTTGCAAGGGCCAGATTTTTAGACCGGTCAGTATTCGATAAGTCTTGTGGTCAATTATGGCACCCACCGACATTGCTTACCAGTATATCACCTTTTCCCAGTTTAAAACAGAGCCTCGTTAGGTCACATTATATGTCAATTAAAAACAAAAACGTTTGAAGGCAAATTAGAAGGTTTGGCCTTCAAGCTTTCTAGTTACTCTGATATCTTGATTCTCACTTAACACAATGGATAACTGAAAATGCCTAAACAATAAATTGAATAAGTTATGTGCTATACTTGATTAATTGTATTATTAAACTACGTAATTTGCTTAACCCATAACCATATTAGGAGCCGCAGCTGTATAGCCGGTAGACACTCTACTCGAGACCGAAGGTTGTAGGTTCAAATCTGCCTTTATCATCCTCATGTGCCATGAAGTCTGCATAAATTATCAGATTCGTCCACATTTATTTATTTATCTTCATATATGCGATCGCTGCTCATTTCCTTTACCACCTTGCCAACCATTTTCCTTCTCCGTTGACCACTTCTCTAGTACCTTGCATCTTCCGGACTGGACCTTGTCAATTCTGTATTCATAATCCCATTAATGCTTATCTGGTTATTCATTAGATTATCTGCGCTTGTGAATTAGCCTCCATGTTTACATACATTCACGGCTCTCGACAAAGTTCTAAATATTGTACAAAGAAAGTCTCTGCGGCTACTAGATCTTTTCTAATCTGTATGTTCAGGATCTGTGATTTCCAGGCTCACAGTTTGTAGTCTCCACAACTTCCACGGATAGATCTATGTAACACATTTTGTTTGTAAATACAGTGAAGACTTAAATTAGTATAATGTTGAGCATCACAATTTCTGGTATCTGGAGATAACATGAAGGTTGGACAGTCCAGTATCCTCTCGGTCAATTGTGTTTCATTGCTCTATTCTACTTTTAACTTCTTTAATTCATATTCCATTTATTACAATCGTAGAAGACTGCAGTTAAAATTAGAAAGTGCTATTCGATTAAGATCTCCCTATGGGTTCAGGGGCTCAATTTTGTGGGAAAACAAGAAGAGAAACACTGGGTACCCAAAAACATGTCGTAAGAGTCTACTAATTGGAAGCTTCCTTCGAAATCCGAGTGCATCTGTCTGAGATGCAAGGAACCAACAGTATGCACACAGATAAGTCAGATCTATAAATGGACGTGCAAGCAACACTCAGGTTCTGCAACATGACTAGAGTCCAGAAGTTGACAAACAACCTGAACATTCCACCGGAGGTTATAGCCTGTGAAGGTGAAGAAGAAGAAGAAGAAGAAGAAGAAGAAGAAGAAGAACAAGAAGAAGAAGGAGGAGGAGGACAAGAAGGAGAACAAGAAGAACAATAAAAAAACAAAAGCAAGAAGAAAAGAAAAGGAACAAGAAGAAGATGATTAAAACAAAGTACTGAGTCAATCAAGAGTTTTATCAAGCTGTGAGCATAGTATTTTCAGTCTGCACATTACAAATATTCATCTAAAAGCGTGTGGGAGTCGCAGTGGCGTAGCGGCTAGACGCTCGCCTGGCGATCAGACTTTAAAAGAATTTACCTTGGCTCCAACGTCGACCCAGCTTCGAGTGGGTACCGGGTGCTGTCATGGGAAGTGACAGCGGCCGGCGTGACGCTGACCACATCACTCATCTTGTACCGTTGGTCTATAAAATATAGGTCTAGCCCCTTTACAATATAAAATGTGACGTACCCATTGTTAAACAAACAGAAAATTATATTTCTTCATCAGCAGTGCAGGACTAATTTGCTGCTGTTTTTGATTTACTACTTTTATTTCAAAATGTTTCACATAATTAAATAGTTCTTAAACTGTAGTACTGTAGAAGTGTTCATTAGTTTGTCCCTGTGTTCTTGTTTCCTCGTACTGTTGTGTGACAATGCATGTTTTTTGTTTCACTTTGATAAGGTTAAACAATTCAAGCAACAGACGCAATGCAGTTGCAAAAATACAACAGTAAATGTTTTAACTGTTGTAGGTATCTAGTCAATATTTAGATAAGTTTAACTCTTGTAGGTGTCCATACAATATTCAGAGAAGTGTAACGGTTGTATGTATCCAGTCCATATAAAGAGAAATTTAACTGTTGTAGGTATCCAGCCAATATTCAGAAAAGTGTAACTGTTGTAGGTATCCACTCCATATTCAGAGAAGCTTAACTGTTGTAGGTATACAGCCAATATTCAGAGAAGTTTAACTGTTGTAGGTATACAGCCAATATTCAGAGAAGTTTAACTGTTGTAGGTATCCAGCCAATATTCAGAGAAGTTTAACTGTTGTAGGTATCCAGTCCATATTCAGAGAAGCTTAACTGTTGTAAGTATACAGCCAATATTCAGAGAAGTTTAACTGTTGTAGGTATCCAGTCCATATTCAGAGAAGCTTCACGAGACAACATGGAGAGAGAACTGACCCGCCAACTAAACAGAATCATAGAAAACAATCAAATCGTTCTCCATACCTGAAAATGAGTTAGCAGACTAACTAGCCAAAAATGGAGCAAAGGAGAAACAATGCACCCATCCATTGTCATTACCAGAATTCATATCACCTATCAAGGAAAAATACAAGGAGTTGTGGAGAGAACAAACTAGCAGTAAACATCCACATGACCCCTAAAGCAGACTCAACATAAAGCAACAATAAAATAAAGATTGTACATTCCCCACAGGGTGAAACGCAGCAAGGAAATTTAGACGAGAACAAATCTGATGACATACCTCGGAGTGAGGTGTGATCGCAGCCTATCCTTCAAAGAACATGTTGACCATTTCATAACAAAAGCACTCAAAGGCCTGTCAGCACTGAGGGTCCTAGCCGCCGCTAACATTAAACAGAGACTGCTTCTGCTTTTGTTCCAGGGACTTGTTCTTTCTCCCATCGAATATGCTCCTGCCAACTGTCAGTCATACTCAGATTGAAAGACTTGAGAAGGTGCAAAATGAAGCGATGCGCATTATTCTGGGGTGCACTGGAGACACATCTTGTGTAGCAATGAGTTTTTATAAGGAGTAGAAAATTATAGGGAAGAGAAAAGGTTGGTAAGAAACAACAATTATTTTATGTTAGCTTTACAAAATCGATCACAATAAACAACAAAAAGACGTTGCGGCGATTAGGTCATCCACATAAAGGACATTCACAGTAACATACACAAATAGGCTCTAACTATGAAGTGACTACATAGGACTCTAATGTATAGAATAAACGATACTCATCTAGTGTCCCTGGCGAAAAAACTTTTTCAATGGAATGACGGTCAGCCATATACCTTCAACGCGCAGGTAGGGGCAAAAAAAAAGGGACGGGTTTGACGCCAACAGCGTACACTGAGTGTCTAATGAGGGAGGGAGGGGTTGGCCTATAGGGCGTAACCGGTTTGGGGTGTGGGGATGACATTAGTCCATCCGCATGGAATAAAAGTGGTGCCTGTGCTTGCAAACAAATATCGACAGACAGACAGACAGACAGATAGACAGACAGACAGACAGACAGACAGACAGACAGACTTCACGACAGACAGACAGACAGACAGACAGACAGACAGACAGAACAGACAGACAGATAGACAGACAGACAGACAGACAGACAGACTTGACAGACAGACAGACAGACAGACAGACTAGACAGACAGACAGAGACAGACAGACAGACAGACAGACAGACAGACAGACAGACAGACATTAGACAGACAGAAATCAGATAGACCTATAGATTAGATAGATAGATAGATAGATAGAT